TATATATATATATATATACTATATATATATATATATATATATATACTATATATATATATATATATATATATATATATATATATATATATATATATGTATATATCCAGCCTTGTCTAATGCCACTAATTTTTTCTTATTTAGTTATGTACGGTCTTTTCTTCTATGTTAGTGTCAGGCACAGTCCTAATTTTGATCCGTACTTTCGGCACTCGTGGATTTCGAAACACCAATACCAACCTATTTGTCGTCTATCACCTGCGTATAGGAGTACACACTCTGGTACACAAGTCCTAATACGTTTTGGACAATACGGCCCCAAATTAAACCCTTAAAACCCAAATTAAAGCCAAATTAAAACCGTAATCAAAACACTGCTGACGCCAAGGCAACTATTGTGTTCTGTTACATTCCTGCAGGAGTACAGGCTCAAGTACTGCATGCTGGGTGTGACCATGGGCGACAACAAAACACCCTTTGTGGTCTCAGTTGTGGATGCGTTTGGGTAAGTTGACTGTACAAAGCAATTTGTAGTACGTTATCGTATGGATAAGTTAATTGTACAAAGCACTGTGTAGTACGTTATCGTATGGACAAGTTAACTGTACAAAGCACTGTGTAGTACGGGCTGTTGCACCGTGTTCGTGCGCATTTACAGGCACACGCACAGGAACATGTAGTAATACGCGCAACTACCTGTACATTGGTAGGAATGAGAGACGACAGAAGTTGGCGTATTTCTGAATACGTGTAATGCAACGTTTTTACACCGTCAGTCCAAGTTGCATACATACACTTGCATATACAGGCGCGCATTTATTGCTGCGTGTCAATGCTTTGATGGCGGCCACAACTCACATATGTATGTACTTATAGACAGATATGCCCATGTATATGGACACACGCGTACATTTGCTGGAGGCCACAACTCATATATGTATGTATTTATAGACAGATATGCCCATGTATATGCACACATGCGTACATTTGCTGGAGTCCACAACTCACATATGTATGTATTTATAGACAGATATGCCCATGGATACGCACACATGCGTACATTTTCTGGAGGCCACAACTCACATATGTATGTATTTATAGACAGATATGCCCATGTATATGCACACATGCGTACATTTGAAAAAGAGTCTTGGAAATGATACACATACGTGTGCTTTCGGGTATTTCGCTTGTGGTTGCACTCATGTGGATGTTTATTGTATTCTTAGTTCATACCATATTGTTAAAGGCGTTTACGAGCTACTGTTTAAGTTTATTGTAAAGATGCACCTACAGTAATAAAAATATAATGATACGAACAAGAAAAAAAAGATAAAAGTTTCCGAAGTCTTTGAACACAATAATAAACTTCTGACTTGAAGTACAATGAAAAATTAGGTGTTAATATTATTGCATATCTGTTGCCTTTTGATGCACAGCACCTTCCTCGACTACATCACTCTTCCGAACTTCGGGCGCGGCATAAAGAGTCCAGAAAAGCAAAAGGATATTGGTATTTTAAGGGTATGTATATATATTGCACTAGTATGGTCGTAATTGTCCTGGTCTGCCTTTAATTTTCAGTGTAAACTTCGGGTTATAGCCTTCTGCCCTTCATCACCCACACTAAATACAAACAAGTCTACGGAAGGACCCCAGTGATTCAAGCAGAGACCGTCCATATCAGTTTATTTTGCCGCACGAATACCAGATTTACGAAATAGCGTTCCCGTCAGGCTTGTGTATGTATCGCTTAAGATAGTCATATACTTAGGATTGCAATACGGGATACGCCCTCCTTGCACACAGCTCACACGTCTATGAACGATCTCACAACAGAACTTCATCAAAGATCGCAAGCCTATTGGCATCGCCATCGCCTCCGGAGGAGTCAGTGCCAACAACACCAAACGAGACTTGCAGCGGTATGTATTCACACTATTTCAAGTTGTGCTCGGGTGTTGTAGGTATCATTGATGGATTGTTATGTATTCACACTGTTTCAAGTTGTGCTCGGGGGTTGTAGGTATCATCGATGGATTGTTATGTATTCACATTGTTTCAAGTGATGCTCGGGGGTTGTAGGTATTACCTATGGATTGTTATGTATTCACACTGTTTCAAGTGATGCTTGGGGGTTGTAGTTATCATCTATTGATTGTTATGTATTCACACTGTTTGAAGTGATACTCGGGGGTTGTAGTTATCATCTATTGATTGTTATGCATTCACACTGTTTCAAGTGATGCTCGGGGGTTGTAGGTATCATCCATGGATTGTTATGTATTCACACTGTTTCAAGTGGTGCTCAGTGGTTGTAGGTATCATGTATGGATTATCCGCCGGAAAGGAAAAAAATTACATATTCAAATTAAGTAGCCTTGCTTAGTTGGGTCTATTTCACACATTCCCTCGTGCAGCATTTGCGACGACTTATATGATGAGAAAGCGTTGAAGTATAAGGCGGGGATTGAGCTGGTAGACTCACAGTGTGCTCAGATCTTTGCCTTGAGCAAACGCTCGAAGGAGGAGTTTGGGGACTATCCGGATTCTATCAGGTACGTCGCATAGTCTAAGAGTTAACGTTTTCACAGGCGGGATCGTTAAAGGGGGATTCTATTAGGTGCGAGTGTTAAATAGTCTCAGACGTAACGCTTTCACTGGCGGGATGGTGGAACGGTTATTGTATGGTGAACGGATAGGGCATATGCACATGGTACTAGTCTGATGACTTGCAGGAGGAATATACTTCATGCAGTTCTCATAAACATGCAGGCCAACCACACAGCCGATGGTACACACTTGCATACTCCCATAGTCAGCAGATGTGTTACCAAGGCACAACCACACAGCCGATGATACACACTTGGTCTCACACTCCCATAGTCAGCAGATGTGTTACCAAGGCATACCGCCCAGATAGTTCAATGTTCAAAGTCGGTCGCTTTGCACATCAATAGTAGCGTGCCAACACCTCCACAGGCAAAGATGATAGAAGAAACGCGGTACACGAAGTTTGTGGTTTACCTACCTACTTAACATAGTTTACTTACCTACTTATAATGTTCTACCTACCTACTTACATAGTTTACTTACCTACTTAAAATATTTTACTTACCTACTTAACATAGTTTACTTACCTACTTAATATATTTTACTTACCTACTTTACATATTGTACTAGCCTACTTGACATATTTTACTAACCTACCTGACATATTTTACTTAAATACTTAAGATATTTTACTTACCTACCTGACATATTTTACTTCCCTACTTAACATATTCTACTTACCTTCCTAACATATTTTACTTACCTACTTAACATTTTTTACTTCCCTACTTAACATAGTTAATTTAGCTACTTAACATATTTTACTAACCTACTTCCCAGTTTTCCACTCCATCAAGTCAAGTGTATTCTACTTATACCGTATTTGTTCGCGTTGCATTACATACTGAGCTTTTAGCTCCACTGGGTGCTAGGCTATTTCCAATACACAAACATACATCTCCATGAGATGTATATACGCTCAGCATGCTCGTGTACGTATCACACTACAAAATAGTCACCTTCATCTGATGTAGTTACTTATACTGTACTGATTCAAATCACATTAAAATCATACATCTCGATTGAAGGCCTATTCACTTATCATTCTTATGTTTGTATCACATCACAGAACCTCTATCTCTATCGCTCGAACGCTACAAGATCCACTATTGGAGTATGCTGGCTTGGCCAAATACCCCCAGGAGCTGTGTGCGCTGAATCTGGTATGTTTTGGGTTTAAGTTATTGATTTTGCCCTGAAAGTGGTCGGTGTTGGGATCAATGTGGTCCCAATGTCGGTCTGCTGTTCGGTACTTTTGCTTCAGTACAATGCCTGCAGCGCCACAGCATCACTACTGTTCTATTTTTAGAAGCCACTACAATTCTGTTGTACCTTGAATAGTACCCATACATCCTCAGCCACTGGTGCTTTGGTATCAACTGAAGTGGACAGGTGTGATGTCTAGAGATAGATTGCACCAAATCTCAAATCTGGACCGTCTGATCGGGGACTTCTCCTGTGACAAGAAGGGCCATCTATAACCCAAACCGATTACGTTTAACCCTAAACTCTAAACCCTGAACCGTAAACCCTATACTTCTCCTGCGACAAGAAGTGTCATCTATGATCCAAAGCGACTACGCCCCACTTCCGTTGTGTACAATTGCGGTCTATGTATTAATAACTCAGGTCTATAGAGGGACTTTATCTACCGTCTACTCGTATGAAAATCGAGATTCTGATTGTGTGAGTTTGATAATGATATGAAACAACTCACACAATCTCCAACCGTATCACCATTTCAGGATCGAGGACAGGATATCCTCTCGAAGGAGGAGTTCTACACTCTCATCTGCCGGGTGCTTATCGATATTGTCAATAAGGTACGGTTGTGTGCATAAGCAGTTTATTATATGCATTTTTATATATGTGCAAGTCCGTTTATGAGTATATATATATGTATGTATGTATGTATGTGTGTATGTATGTATGTATTTATGTATGTAAGTATGTATGTATGTATGTAAGTAAGTAAGTAAGTATGTATGTATGTATGTATGTATGTATGTAA